CACTGCACTGGTGCGGCCACACCTCAAGCAGTGTGTGCAGTTTTGGGCACCTCAGTATAAGGACATCAAACTGTTAGTGTGTCCAGAGGAGGGTGACGAAGGTGGTGAAAGTCCTTGAGGGCAGAACTTACGAGGAACAGCTGAGGTCACTTGGCTTGTTCAGCTTGGAGAAGAGAACACTGAGGGGTGACCTCATCACAGTCTACAACTTCCTCAAGGGGGGCAGTGGAGGGGGAGGTGCTGATCTCCTCTCTCTGGTGACCAGTGATAGGACACGAGGAAATGGAATGAAGCTGTGTCAAGAAGTTCAGGTTGGACATTAGGAAAAGGTTCTTCACTGAGAGGCTGGTCGGTCACTGGAACAGGCTCCCCAGGGAAGTGGTCACAGCACCAAGCCTGTCAGAGTTCAAGGAGCGTCCAGAAGATGCTTTTAGTCATATGGTGTAGTTTCAGGCGGTCCTGTGAGGAGCAGGGAGTTGGGCTCAATGATCCTTATGCGTCCCTTCCAACTTGAGATATTCTATGATTCTATGATTGCACCTTTTTTTTTTCTATGCACCTGCTACTGGCTAAGACGGTAGATAGACCTTTGGTCTTAAATGCCGTGGTTTTCCTTACATTTTGAGAAACAGTTCACCTTCTGTCATTCTTGAAGGTATGAAGTAGGTAGGATTTAACAGTATGAAAGGGTTGATTCTTAAAACTAGAAATCTTGGTTTTGTCTGACAGTTGGCTAGCTGTTAATCAGAACTTTCTAACCTCTTGTTTTGTCTGCTAGCTAATATATTCTACTACTTTGCTATGCGTGCACTCACTCATAAAAATCAATAAAAAAGATTGGAAAGTTCATTGCTGCTCTGGTTCTTTGTGTGTTTGTTATGAATAGCAATGTTTGTTCAGGCAAACCTTAGAATAATTGCAAATTTGAAATGCAGCCTCATCTCAACTAGAGAAGGTACTTTAGAGAATTGTAGGGCAGCATCTTATAAAAACTGAGGAAATTTAAAAACTTATTTCTCTGACAGTCTGAAACTTTTGTTTGTTCCACAACGGACTCTCAGTTTTCTTTTAGAGAGATTCATCAAAGCACTCTATATGTGTGTCTCATCAAAATTGCTGATGCAAGGAGTTAAATCTTAGACATTGCCATGTTCACAGACTTATGAAACTCCATAGATTTCATAAGCTAAAATCTTTTCTTGCTGAAAGTTTAGATAGGCTCAAGGGGATACTGGCGAGGTACCTTGAAGAGGAGTCTACTGAGGAATATTAAATACACAAAATCACATCTGTCTCAGGAAGTAACCTGAATTGAAGGTAGTCGGAGCGTGGATAGTAGCAGCAGGGAGTATTGTGTATGCTTGTCCTGTTCTTATTCTTTGCTGTATATCTGTTCATGGCTGCCACTGCTGGAAGCCAGATGCTGAGCTGGATCAATGTTTGGTCTGATCTGGTATGAATGAAAAAAGGAGGATGTCTCGCTCCAAGTGTTCTTGCTTTCTCTCAGAGATCAGTAATTTCATATGACTAGGAAGAAAGAACAAGCAGAAAGATTTGAACTGCTGATATTGAAATAACCACCCCTACTCATGCCTTTCATTAGTTCCCAGCGATCCACCTAACAGGACAAACTTGTTTGTAAGGCTCCATGTGATTCATTGATAAGATGCGTCTTTGTGGCTGGCACTGTTAACTCTTTGGTTGTGCCTATCACAATTTTGCATTTAATCGCTTGAAAAGGATTAGTTCTTAAAATGTTCATTTTTGCTTCTTTTTTTTGGGTCCCTTTTTCTTGTAAGCTGTAGCCTTACAGGTTGTGCTGCTTTGGTTGGGATCACCAGTGACATTTCCTTTCAATAGTTGCAAGCAGCACTGATACCACGAAACAGAATTTAAGTTCATCATAGCTGCCCCAAAGTCAACCTGGTATCTACCAGATGATCTTTACTGAAGCCTGAAGAACAGTTACACTTTGTCTTTCATGGATGACTTCCTTTTGATTAATCTGGATTTGTCTTGTCCTGTTTAAGGTTCTTGGAGAAGACAAGGGTATTACTCCTTCATGTTATATATAGTTCATAATTACTTTCAGCTGTCTTGTGTCCTGCAGGTTGGTAAAGAGGACCTTAGGTCTTATTTTGTCAAGGCAGTAAATGCTTTCTTCCTCAAAAATGGGGAATAGATTTTGGTCAATAATAGATTTTTTTTTTCTGTCACTTTTCAGTTACTAGCTGAATTTATTGATACTGCATGGAAGATCCTTAGGTTAGGGCAGTTATCTAGTTACTTTAGATTTCCTTCCATTGCTACCCTGCAAAGTCTTCTGTATAGTTAACTCTTCCCTTGGGTATAGTTACAGCTTGATCAAATTTATTGCATATTCTCATATTTATTTCATGAGGTTGTGTGAAATAACTTAAAAGTGCCACTTTCCTGGGACATGTCGACAGCTGAAGGGTGTTGGCAAAGATGCCACTTATTGTTAGGCTGGGTACCAAGAGGAGTTGGTTGCCTCTGGAAGTTCTGATGTGGAAACACGGCAGTCAACCTGCTATCCTGAGGGGAAGAGTTTGGTGTTGAAATCCTGGTTCTGAATCTCAGATGCTGCTGGTAGATATAAATAGACAACTGCTTATTTAGAAATAATGGCAGGGTATCAAGTTTTTAGTGCATTTGCTCATGTGAAAAATGGTGTCAACTCTTTTAATCTCAGTGTTCTTTTTCATTCTAAAAGTGGCATCTCCTCTTGCACTATGCTGATGCAGTGATTGTTGATTCAGAAGGAAGGTTGCCTACTAAACCATAGAATCATAGAATCATAGAATAGTTTGGGTTGGAAAGGACCTGTGGTATTTGCCATATCTCGTATTCAGGGCAGCTAGACCAGACCATCTTGACTTTGTGTAACAGCAGCACAGATTACAATATGAGGTTGGAAGTCTACAGGCTACATCTCTTTCATGTGAAGCTATTGTGATTGCAGCTCTGACTGGAAAACTGCCAACCTTTTGCGTGAAGGACACAAACAAATAAGGGGAAGTAGGGAAAAAACCCTTCTTATACCAGTCTTCCTTTTTTTTCTGATTCTCGTGCATTCTGTATAAGTGTGTAAGGTTTTAAAAGCACTAGCAAGGTATCATGGTTTATCTGCAAAATAGGTCAAAACTCTAAGTTCACTCTAAGGAGACTTGCACTAAGTCACAGGCTTGTGACCAAATATATGCTTCCAATTGCGATGAAGTTTGGCATTTATTTTAATCTCTGGAATACTGTGTAGAAACTAGCTGTGTTTTTGATCTGTGTGTGTATGTGTATATATATATAAAAATCTTGCATTTTTTCTGTGCAATTACAGTATGGACTGTTTAACAAGTATTTGAGTTATGAATGCTAGACTGGGTAATCGAAATTTGGTGTGCCAACTGGAAATTCAAATTGTTTGTCTTTTTCCTATGCTGACTAAACAACAATTTCTGTATTTTTAATGTTTAAAAGGTTTTAAAAAAAGAAAAGAAAAAAGAAATGTTTCTGTTAAAGATGGATTTACTAAAATTATTCTTCGGTAGTCACTAGGTCACTGATTTGCAACTGTTACACACAGCAGAAAAAGTTACGTCTTAAACTCTGTTCCAGTAATAAACTGTGCGTGAGCAATCCATATGTGTATTTAAAGACTTAGTGATATATCAAGGTCCATATGGACCTGTGAGTCTGATTGTGTGGAACTCACTGCTGGATGAGTAAGTGAACACCTTATCTGCTTATCAGAACTTCTGTCCGGCATTATGAAGAAAACATGTATGAAAAATTTATGACAAATGCTTTCTACTCACATGTTCTTGTAGTATTTAGAACCTGCTTTTGGAAGAAATCCACTGTTGTCCTTCTTGGAAAAACGTGCGTCACTGGCATTATGTTGGATTTTATAAAAATAAATCTTTAAAAATAGGAATGGTGATTTTTAAGATCAAAGGGTAAGCACCTTTATCAAACAAGATTAGTGGTGCTATAGAAATGCTTGGGAGGGATTTATTCTCTGTGTGTATAATCCTTTAATGATACTCTGCATTACAAATTAATCAGAAAAAGCATGAACTGTTCCTTTGTTTCCAGCATTTCAAAGGCAGCTATTTCTGCAGAATCCTCATAAGCCGTCAGGATCTGGGTTGATTTATAGACTGTAAATTTTCTTTTGAAAACTGGTAAATAGTATGTCAAATTATCAGATAAGTATAACAAAGATTAGGATTTTCAGTCACAGTTATGAATTCACAAACTCACTTTTCCTGGAATGCATGTGTATGACCAAGTGAATAGGTTGAATAATCGGCCAGTTCTGGCAAGTTAGGTGATTTAGACTTTTGCAGAATGACATGATTTATAGTTTAACCAACAAGGAATTTTTAGAATCTGTGCAACTTTAAGAACCAGGCAATTGATAGGATTGATAGTCCCTCAAATTTAATCTCTGATGCAAAAAACCAACCCTAGTCAGGAAAACAGCATGTTCATTGCTGTCTGTGGTTGGGGCATCCACGCTTTAAATGCAAAGTTTAGGAGGTGTATTTTTGAAAGAAGAGTGTGTGTTCAATGTCCTGTTTTCCATAAAGCTTTCCTTGGTAATATTTTCATATGTATTATTATTATTATTATATAACAATAATACGAAGTTCTTCCTACACAAACACTCAGTGATCATTTTGTCATTAAGAGCATGAGAGGTTGCAAGAAAATACCAGCAGTTGGATTAGAACTGTCTGTTAAAAACAGATATGAGGCAAATATTATTCCCCTCTGTATACAAAAAAAATTGTTTCTTCTCCCATTAGACATAAAACAGTTACATGTGTGATGTGTTCCTATATTACTCAAATATCTTACATGCTGAAATTGGTTTTTCAAGTACAGCTACCTCCACTGTTTATTTTACTGGGTTTTTTAAAGTACAGCTCCAAAACTGTTAAGTATTCTATTTGTTTTTTGTGTTTGTTTTTTTCCAGACTGATCTTGATTATGTTAACAGTGTTGTTGCAAGCCTGGAAAAAGAGTAAGTTGTAGTTTTAATCGGGGACTTCTTAGCTTATTGGTGGGTTTGCTTTTTATTTTTCCCAAATCAGGTTGTGATAAGTAATAAAAAGTATTCTGGAAATAGGAGATCATGCACTTTTGTTTCTTGGGGGTTTGGACTTTTGAACAACAGAATAACAGATGACAAGTTAAGGGGCAGTGATTCAGTCAGTTAAATTGTAAAACAATAAATGGGATTAAATTATTTGGTGCAACATAAACAGATGGGATTGGTTTAACATGAATGGAAATTTGTGACATCTGTGTTAGGGCCTTGTATTCCGTATGTTCAAAGAGAACTATAGAAAAAAAAATCACTGGGTTCTGAAAAAAAGAAAGGCAAAAGAAGTGTTTAGAATCTAGTTAGAATTCTGATTGTTGGGCAAGAGATTATACTGCTCTGCAGAAGATGCTAATGAAAACAATGTATTTTTTACGTACTACTTTTATTTTACATGCCTCGTTTGAATAAGTCATTGTTGTAACCAGGCGTAATAACTGTACCAACAGAAAGCAAGGAGGAAGTCTACAGAACTCAGAATCTCTCATGTGACTTTAGGATGTTTCTATTGACAGGTTTTCTACAGAGATCAATTCTGGCTTGGTGGAAGTAATAGCCCCTCCTGCAACTTACTATCCTGACTTGACAAACTTGAAAGAGACATTTGGAGACTCAAAAGAGAGAGTGAGGTTAGTTTATTTCCCCAGATCTTTTCCCATCTCCTCCCACACCCACACTTTTGTTGTTTATGAAATGGCAAGTGGGATGTGAATTCTTGAAATGTTTTCTTACTGTAATTCTTGAAAGTGTGGGGATGCTAAAAGTGCTCTGTGAATCCATCTCATTCCTATCTGCATGCTGTTCTGTACATGATCAGAGCCTAATGCTATGCTTGGTTGAATTCATTTAGTGTTAAATTTTGGGAGGAGAACTGAGACTTGATATACTTTTTTTGCTGTATGTAGACTTCTTTGTTTACTGTTTTTCTTCCTGAAATACAGTGTAAAACCCAGTA